CGGGGAACTCTGCAAAAAACGCATCTTCGCACGGGCAGCCCGTGCGTTGGCCAATTTTTTTTCATTGCCTTAGTTCTGTCGGACCATCCCCTGTGATACTGACCGGTAGAGTATACAATTTTCAAAACCGTCATCAGAGAAATTAGCTCCTCTTCAATTTGTCCTGGCAGTACTGGCAAGTTCGAGCTCACTGAAGAATCAAACTTTTTTGAAAATCAAGTAAAAAATATTCTCCTTTATCGTCTAGGTAGCTGAATTATTACTATACCAAATTATCTTAAAAATCTGTTTTTTGAGGTCTCACGTTTAACATTCATTTTTCGCTTAGACAAAAACCAGTAATTCAGAATCTTAATTATCGAATCATTTTGATTGGCCGCGTTTCTTGATTTTGTACTGTCACTCCTTACGTAACTGGTGATTTTTCCACAGGTAAATAGTATAGACAAAAAGATTCCAAACAACTAAGATTCATTTGGCAGTGCTCGGTTCTGGGACATCTAATAATGCTAGTTGAGGCAGTAATTCCACTCTTCCCCTTGTCATTTTTCCAATTTGTGCCAGTAAACAATTTTATTTAGGCAGCGAATTTCGCCCTGGGATGTTCGAGGCTGCGGTGCCACAGTGCATGGTTCTGAATCCGGCGCCGTTTGGCGGAAATTACAGGACATATAGCAGCCCGTTAAATTCATTTGCTCCCTTGACAAATATTTGGAGTGAAGAGAAATACACTGTTGATCCGTTCATGAGGCACTGTTGTTTTGTTTGATATAAATATCCAACCACAGGAAATGATGGACATGACGTGCTGCTGCTTGCCTTGCTGACAATTGCGTATTAGTGAGTGGTACCCACGAGAAAGTAAACGAGCACTCGGGTAGCCACCGAAGGCAATTTGGACAGCAGCCAAACATGTATAGCTAAGAATCACTGGATCTCGTGCAGCTTTGTCCAGCGTGTGGGAACATCCCAGTAACAACACTATCACGGAATCACAAATCCGGCTTTCTTGTGATATCAATAATCCATAGGTTTTGCGGTAGAAAAATTCACTTATTTAATAGCAGGATGTGAAAAAAGAATGCTTAGGTATGAACAAAGTATTTTTCCAGGCCCCAGAAGGAACAGCCATTTTCAACAGCAGTGGAAGAGCGGCTTCGACTTCGAAATATACTTTGCCAGCTCTTCCCGGAATGGGCAGTGCTGTCCGTAATGTCAGCATATCCGGATGAGAATGATGCGCAGAAGCTGTGCCCGCTGATTATAAGAGAACTTCAGCAGCAGCAGCAAAGCTTCCAGAATTCTTGAAAAACTTTTTCCCATCTATTTTTATCATTTACAAACCCACTTTCGGGTTTCTAGGCACATCGGCTCCTTGATGGCAAATTTACTTTTCATTTTCTGGCCATCTGTTTGTGCCAAAAACTTTTGTCCCCTTCCCAGGAGTGGAAAAAGTTAACGAGATTAACATGAAATTAACGAAATTGACGTGAAATTAGTGAGACTAACGTGAAATTAATTAAACGTGAAATCAATGGGCAGAAAAGTGGAGTGTAAACTTAGCCAGGAGTCTGCCTTCGATTCCGACCTGTTGCTGGAGAAACTGGTCATCTTTGGTTTTTATAGTGAATTCTCGTACTGCTTATTTACAGCAATTTTCATTGTTGTGTTATTTTCATCGCCGTTTCGGCGTTCTGTACGGTCAGTTTTTTGACTCACATTGTTACAGTGAGTGGTCACTTCCATATTATGGTATTCAAATATTTTGAATTTTTTTTCCGGCATTAAATTATGCATATTTATTTTGTCTCAATGATTTTTCGAAGTTAAAAGTCAATAAAAATTCATCCACACTTTACTTTCTACATGCGGCCGAAGCTCTCAGGAGCAGCTGGCGTGATCATCGTGTAACCAGCAGCACGAGAGTCAACTGTAATCAAGAAATTGTGTGGCACCATACACTGCTAGTAGGAGCTGTAGACCGGCAAAGACCTTCTCATCAAGACTTCCCCTTCTAAACGGCCACTCAAAAGCATGAGAATGATGATTCTGGTTTCTTGGCATTTGTTGGTGTAAATTTACACCGAAACGAATCAGTGCGTGATGCAGAATTTCGTTTTCCAACTCGGAAAAAAAAGCCGAGCCAACTAAGCAGAAGAGTGACGCTATAAACCTACTTTGTTAACATATCGCCTGGATCCTCGATTTTCCGGAAATCGAAAGCAGCTTCTCGAAGGACGCGATGTACTTGTGCCTCTTTCTGTAACAGTCGTGTTGTTAGTCCTTAGTGGTTCGACTTACACCTCTTTCTGCAGATATAAATTTTATGTTTTAACAATAACTATTACTCGGAGAAATCCCTTCATATGAGGCACATCTTGTAACTCGCAAAAGTTACGGAATGTTGAGCGGGATATGAGTTGCTCAAAGCAAATGCTCAAAATTAAGTCCACCGTATGTCTGTTAGCCATTAGCACTGCAGAGACTTTTTTCCAGTTTTATTAAAGGAACCTTACTCACTGCCCAGATTTTCCTGTATCTTTCTGGAAAAAGCAGCGGTATGTTCAGAATTCTGAAGTAAAAAAAAAAAAAACAGACATCTCGTTCCTCCATTTTGAGCGCTCAAATAATATGAAATAGGCAAAAAAACTTCGTATCATTTTCCTATGGTTATGTTAATATTATTATAACTATTTCTGTTATCAATAATGCTACCACCACTAGCATTTCTATTATTATTACTATTGTTGCACCGTCATTATTACTTTTATTAATTATCATTATTGTTATTATTAACACATTACTATTGTTACTGTAATATATATTTTAATTACACATCCTAATCGTAAAAATGTACTAATTTCAATATCTGTACCGTGATTCAGTACTGCAAATCATTTCTCGATAAATTCACAAAACTTTAACAGATGGTGTCCATCAGTGACTGGCTCAGAACAATTTATTCAACATCAATCGTTTTTATTATTAGCATTTGAATACATCCATTTTCCACCTTACTAGAAGGCTCATGGTCAATAATTTTCAGCCAATCCAAAAAAAATTCGACAAACCCCGTGACTATTTTTTGAAAAAGATCGCCCCCAACCTGCCTTGGTTATGTCATTTACAACAAGCAAAATCTCAATTACAATTTGCCTACGAATTCTCTGTTTTCACCGTAAATAAATAATGAGATACCGGAAAAGGAAAAAAGCAGGCATACCGGAATTTTATAGATGAAATAGAAAAAAAAAAACGTGAAAAAAATTAGCTTAATGACAAATTTAAAATTTAATAAAAACGAACCCCAACAATGCTCACCGATTAAAAAAAAAATGCAACCCAAATTCTATTAGAAAAATATGTTAAACCAAATTACAATCATATCACAGTTCCCAAATCATCAAAAATCCATTTAGAATTTTTAAAAAATAAAAGAAATCAAAAAATTAAATATCCTTTGAAAAACAGAACCCGTAATAAAGCAAAGGATAGAAATCTGCAGTGGACAGTGTTCAATATCGAAATTTTGAAAAAAAAATTTTGGAAATAAACGTTGAAAAGAGAATAAACAAAATGTTGCCCTATATTAGCGGCGCAAATGCTGTCCATTACAGTGATCAAGAGAAAACAACGCAGAAGTTAGGAGAAATAATAATGTGATACTTCATAAGAATTGCACATTCAAGAGAAAACCAAAAGCTTCAAAAAATCTTGCAAAAACAGCTCGATGAAAAAAATACAAGCTTTTTGAGCGTTCTGGAAGCAATCATAATAACTCGTACAATCATCTTCGGCTGATTATTTACAGTGTGCCAATCATAAACGTGAGGTGAGAAGATTTCTGGGATATCCATCTTTTTCTTTGGCACATTTCACATTGCTAGTTAATGACAGTACTAATTACATAGCTTTACCGAAACCTAAGAAAGTAACCCCTAAGCTATACCATTCCTGGAAAATTCCGTTGAAACACTCAAAGCTCCTGCTTCGATTGCACCGAAGTCATTACACGACGAAATTCCTCAGTTTCCCTGATACTTGATGCATATCTACCGAAGCTTTGAAATAACGAAACCACTTCGTTCCTGAAATGATACTGCAAAAATGTGGACAAAAATGTGAAAATTCGTTGCAAAAAATCTTAGATGAATTTGAGAAAATGATCGCTAAAATTAAACAAATTACAAAATGAGGGTTTCCAAAATCGCAGTAAAGAATTTCTTTCAAAATCACTGATATTTTTAAAATTCCCAGCTTTTTTAAAAGTTCATAACAAATACTATTCGTCAAACTTTCGCCCAAAAAGCCAAAGACACACTTTTCCTGCAAAAGACCTTAGTTTAGCTATAATTTTATTGCGACGTATACTTAAATCCCTGATGCATCTGGCAAATTTTGCGCAATCTAACATTATTTGGTGATCCTGACAATTGCTTTGGCGATTCTGACATTTACTTTTTGTTTGTTCACTTCATGCATCCCGAAGAAGAATGACGAATTTGTTTCAAATTTTTGTTCTAACGATTCTTTTTGCTGTAGTCAGTTCGTCAACTTACTTGCTAACGATTGCTATACTTCTCCAAAACTATCATCAACAACAAGAGGTGCACTAGTTAATCACAGAGAGGATGACCTATCTAAAGCAGAAAGCGAAAAAATCTTGGAGTTATAGAAGAGAGATTGCCCTAATCTACCAGCTATAAAACTTCGCGAAAAAACTGTTGCTAAATTTTAAACTACCGAAAAATGCATTGGCTTATAATACAGAGACAAACCTGCCAACAGCCTGCTTTTAAGTAACTTTCAAAAGAGGGAATCACAGAAACCCAAATATCGGATGGTTGCTGTTGGCTAATATTATCACTGTGGCTGCTCCCGACTGCCTCAGTCTCATGCCGAGAGTGAGTCAGGGAAAGGTTTCACAGTGGTAAGCGGGCTGTACTGATGATTCCCACCCTTAATCACATCTTGTACTGTCGGTGTTTACAGCCAAGGATGAAACACATGCAGACCAACTTACGCATTCTATGTACACGACTATTTAACGCGTTTCAAGGTTTTTGTCACATTAACAACCCAACTATTTTCCCTATCACAATTCATTAGCAAATTTCACCCTCCAATCCTTAAAATTTAAGGAGTTCTTCATTTCTGAATTTTCTTCGGTTTATACGGATCGCTACTTCGAAAGGTATGGTTCGGCCTATCAAAAGTCGCAAAAAACCATTTGACAATTTCACCCTCTTCGGGGGCTCTACTTAGACCGTCCAATTTTGGTTCGGCCTTCTATGGCCCTTTTATACATTTCTCACTAATGACAAAAATACGCACCTTGTTAACTGGAACGGTGGATATACTGTGCCATCCTGAGTTCTGTAATGCGATGAAGGTAGATCCGAAAAGAGAATTTTCAGTGCAGTGCCCATTCCATGCGTTTGCAGTTTGCCCCATAAACGGCACTTATCACAGCCCACACAATCCATGATTCGGGATATGTTGAAGAAATGTTGGCGAAATTCCTCACGCAGTTCCCGAGCTGCAGCTTCAACACCCTACAAAAATAGGTATTTAGCGGCCGATCATAAATCTGTTTCATGTTTTCTTACTAAAAAAAAGGTTCGGAAAAAAATTTTTAAAAAGTAGAAAAGCACAAAAAATCCAATACTTTGAAGAAAATAGTACAAAACTAACAGTGAACATTTCGGTTTCATCGAAAGGATTTCGAAAACCTTTCAAAGTGTTCATCAATTCTTCTACTCGTTTTCGTGTTTCTGCATCATCCTAAAATATAAAAATAACAATATCAGCTACTTTATAATTCCCTAATTCGAATTAATTTCAATTTTTCAACTTCTCAATTCCAATCCAAAATTCCCACTCAGTTTAAAACTTTTCTCGAAATAATTTAAATTTTTTTTTTTGCTCCGCCAACTGTTTCTCGTCAAAGAACCCATTTCAAAGATACACCGTAATTTCGAACCTCAGCATTGCCGGTGTAGAAGAGCTCTTTTCGAAAGTACGGTGCTGCTTTTATGAGCGCTCGCATTTCGAGAAGATATACGAAATAGACATTTTTCAATCGCTGTGGTCCTTCCAATGTCCATTTTGTTCCAAAACGATTTCGAAACATTTCGACATTTCTGAACCATGTTCCATCTCCAAATCCTGCGGGCGCTAAAATACAGGAAGAAATTATCAATTCCTTGAAATAAAACAATTTAAACTTATAATCGGATTTCTACCGAGAAAAATGCAGGAAAAGTGGTACCTGGTTTGAAGCTATTAGCTGCTATGGCTATTGTAATTGCTGAATGCAGCCCCGATATAAGACGATAGAAAACACGTTTTTCCAGGCACATACCTGCAAGCATTTTTGGAAAAATAAACACTCACATCATAGTCATCAACATCAATATTCATTTGCATTCTGTGATTATTTTGAATTTTTTATTCTGATATAATAAAGCAAATACTGTCAAGAGATGCTATTATATTTTCCCAGTCGCTAAAATTCCAAATTAAGGTCGTGTTGCTTAATGAACAGCTAAAGCTCAGTTAAATGTTCCCACCGAAGAAACGATTTACTTTACGCAAAATTTATGGTGATTTATGCTAATGAGCACAAAAGGTAGGCGTAAGGCAACAACCACTTATGCAGTTAGTGACCTGAGTACTTCAAGTCTGGTGCAAAAACGTATGATTGCACCTAGTACGTTCCAACTGCTAATCCCTTCCGGCTGCAAAAACAACAGCAGCAGACAAAATATCAGGTGATGAAGCACTGCTCAAAGGACCGAAGAAGTTGCCAGTTGTCAGCATAAATGAAAAACAGGGCTACGATATACAAGCTTACTCATTTATTCTTATTTCATCCCTTCCTAAAATACCTTTCCATTACAAGGTTATGCTACAGTGTGAAAGAAGCAAGTGTTGGTAAATGAAAAAAAAAAAAAAAAAACTCACCAAACGGATTGGGATTAATGAGGAAATTTTTGTCGAATTTCATATCTGGCCTGAAAAGGGGGGGAAAAAATTCAGCAAAAAGAGTCTCAAAAAAGCACAGAATAGTGACAAAGCGATAAAAAATTTGTTAAAGTTCTTATAAAATTATAACTAAGCACAATTTGATATATTGAGAGTTATTCCTGAGCTCTAAAGCAAAGTGCCAAAGCATAACCGCTCACCGAAGAGGATTTAGTTGCTTCCACCAGATGCAGTGAAGGGAAGACGGAATGGAAATTTTGGCAGCTGTGAGAGAGCTTAAAAAATAATTTGTTCCGACCATATATGGCAGAACAATGGGGTCAAAAATTTGCACAGAAAGAGGGGGATTATGATAATTTTCGAGGATGGAGGGGGGGAGGGGAGAAATCGGGAAATATTTTTTAAAATTAAAAAAAAAACCATTTTTAAGTAAAAAAATCACGGGAAGAATGCCTACCGCTTCTGCCTTCTCACTGCCTATCTATAGAAGGAGTTTTTATACGTGGAACTGTAAGTGTATCTAAATTTAATCTATTTTCACTTACTTAAAACAATTCTCCTGATAAATACATTGCCATATTTTCTGTGCACTGTTGCCTTTGTAACCCGTGTATCGTTCCGGATTTCTGGACAAATCCACGTAATGCATATCAGCTGAAGCCTCATCTGCAATTTAAAAGAAATCAGTTATAACTACAAAAAAAATTATTAGTGGACCGAAATGTTCTTATCTTAGCCATTCCTACGAAACACTCTGTATACTACTGGGTTACACACAAGTAGACTAATTTTAATTGTTTTGATTTCTTACTCTTTTATTTGTTAAAATAATAATGGTGATAAATAATAATAATGACAATAATAATAATAATAATAATAATAATAAT